GTGACACATTAAGAATTAGACTGATGAAAACGTTTTTCAGTTTTATATGGTAAAATGTTTTTATTTTATTGACAACAGTGTTTTGATCATGATTAATTCAATATGAACGTGTTTATTGGTAGAAATTTCCCGCAAGTTTGTTTTGGAGAAAACATACAAACCGAAGTCCAAAAATCCAAATGTTATCGAACTCAAAACTTCTGCGAATTTACGTCATGAAATTCGAATTTTCAACCACCTCTACCCTCTACACAAATTTTTATAATGCATATTGTTAATTAAAAAAATATGTTTAGTATTCTAATGAAATAAAATAGGATATCTTGTCTCATTTACTCTAATGCTAGACAAAAATATCTTAAAAAATAGTTTGATCATTTTAATTGATAAAAAGTTATAATATTTACTTTTCCTAAAAATGATAATCATTCTTTTTGGTTAAAATAATGTATATTTTTTTAGTTATCAATATCGCTTACACACTACAAAAAAATAGAGAATTAGTTATTATTTTGCGACTAATACGCGACTTTTCCAAAAATTTGGAGTATATAGTTGCATATTTATGTCGACAGAATGTAGTCGTATAATAGTCGTATATTTGCGACTGAAGTAAGACTATTATTCGACTATGCAGTTCTCATCACAAAATAAGACTAATTAGCGACTTTTTTATTAGTAAAAAAATACAGTCCCGAAATAGTCACTTGCGACTACTTAGTCAGGTGTTGATTGTCTCATTTGAATCACAAAGACACGTGAAAAATAAAGGAGGTAAATACCTAACTTTTGTGACTGTTGTCGGATAGTCACAAAAGAGTGACAAAATTTCAACTATAAATATGGCAACATCCCATTATGCACTCATCAAAAACTTACCATTTGAAAACGTGAGCTTACAAAAGTAAAGGAAAGAAAAGGAAAGGGATTAAAAAAAAAAAGTGGAATTCATTCCGAAAATGGATGTATAACATGCGCACAAATAATTTTTCAAGAGAATGTTTGGAAGAAGTCGAAACATGCGCACAAAT